TCTTTCAGCATGACAATGATCCCAAACACACCGCCCGGGCAACGAAGGAGTGGCTTCGTAAGAGGCATTTCAAGGTCCTGGAGTGGCCTAGCCAGTCTCCAGATCTCAACCCCATAGAAAATCTTTGGAGGGAGTTGAAAGTCTGTGTTGCCCAGCGACAGCCCCAAAACATCACTGCTCTAGAGGAGATCTGCATGGAGGAATGGGCCAAAATACCAGCAACAGTGTGTGAAAACCTTGTGAAGACTTACAGAAAACGTTTGACCTCTGTCATTGCCAACAAAGGGTATATAACAAAGTATTGAGATGAACTTTTGTTATTGACCAAATACTTATTTTCCACCATCATTTGCAAATAAAGTATTTAAAAATCAGACAATGTGAGTTTCTGGATTTGTTCTTCTCATTCTGTCTCTCATAGTTGAGGTATACCTAGGATGAAAATTACAGACTTCTCATCTTTTTAAGTGGGAGAACTTGCACAATTGGTGGCTGACTAAATACTTTTTTGCCCTACTGTATATCACTTTTTATTTATTCACGCATTTCATTCTTGTATGTAGACAACAGTGAAGTGAAGGAAAAACTAGGAAACAATTTTTTTTAATCAATTATATAAAAATAAGGCAAACATATATATATTACAAAAAACTTGAAATAAAAATAACATATTTCAATATTTTGTAAAGTGACACTCAGATATTTGACACACTGTATGAAACACAAACAGAAAGAGTCTCTGACCTTCACTGAGGTGCAGTACTGTTTGGAGTGAGTCTGGCACTCGTCTAGTTTGGTCTGGTTCTGTTCAATCTCAGCTACTAATGCCTAAAGAAGCCAAAACAAATCATGACATTTATACAAGACCGTTGGGTACAATGTGTCAGTTTTAAAAGTAATCAGTGGTACTGACCGTCTGCTGGGCCAGCTGTTCTGACAGCACCTTGCTGTCCGTCTGTCCAGGTTGGGTGTTTTCTTGTCTCTTTGTCGTTTCTTCGATCCAGTTGATGAGAGCAGAGTGTCCGTCTCTGTACTGCTGCAGGGCCGAGCCCACTGACTCTAGATCTGTCCGTCTGCAATGAGAACACATGGATTGTCAGAAAAAGTAACACACAGACATGTTTATTCTACATATAAATATAAGCTTTTGTTCTGTTATCTAAATATTTACTGATAATTATACTTGGTAGTGATGGGAGGATTTTGTTTGTTGATACAAAAACATTAAATAAGTTGTTCCTGGTGAATTTGCATTATTAGGATAATTGTAAATATTCACAAGTACTTACAATAAGATGTCAAGCTTGCTATCACGGTAGAAACAGTTTTTATCCTGAATGTATACATGGGGAAATTATGATTTATGATGACTCTATTTAAGATTGTTTGATTGGTTGTTTTTTACAGAAAATTAATTTCAGATTTGTGTTTCTGTGAAACAATACCAATATTAGTTTCTTACCAAATGTCAGGTAAAGTCATTTCAGTATGTTTTTCTTTTCACATTTTAAGAGTCAAAAACATGTTTGGATAATTATTTTCAAGAATATCAAGTACATCACAATTATTTTGGACCAGATTATCCTGACACGAATCAGTGTTTGCATTGTACAGGCTCATACATCCTTTCAAGATTCAAAAAGGTTGTCATGATACAAGCCTAACAAAATTAGACTTCAATCTTTCAATTCTCCTCCTTTTACCCTTCTCATCCCCTAATCGTTTCCTTTCCCCCCACATCTTCCCTCTGTCTTGCCCACCGTGTGTCCATCTGCCTCTTGACTCCGCTCCACCTGTCTGCCATCTGATTGGCTCTCTCCTGGAGGCGCTCCAGCTCAGGGCTGCGGTCCGGGTGCAGCTTGCTGAGCTGAGACGCAGCTTCTTTGGCGCAGGCGACCTCCGACTGCAGGGACTGGAAGACGCTCTCCTGATCCACCAGATCAGCCTGCAACTTCTGGAGTGAGGAATCAGGAGAAGGATGCAGATCAAAGGTTAGAGTCAGTCTCACAACACAAGCCTTAAGGGGAGTCTATGCAATATTATGTGTCGCTTACCCCTAGTTGCTCTCTGAGGTTTTTAATGGCCGTCGTGTCTGCAGGAACGATGTCCTCTTCACTTAGTCTGCTCTCGTTCTTCCTGACCTGGCTCTCAGCTTCATCCAGGCTACGCATCAGGACCTCTACAGTTTTCAGCCTGAGGAGAGGAAACATTTCGGAAGTGAAACATTAGTGGGCTTTTTTGAGTTAACCAATTAACAGAAGAAGGAAGGGCTCACTTACTTTTCTAGGTATACAGAGGAGAGGTTGTGCAGTTTGTCTGTCTTCTCCACGGCCTGATTGAGTTCAGCCCGGAGGACGGGGATGCTGGAGGACGTCGGCTTCTCCTCGAAGAAACTGATGCAGCGCCGGGACACATCTCCCAAACTGGAGCGCATGGCGTCCAACTCCGACTGCAGATTCTGGACAAAAATGGGATTTTAAGGACACCATTAGTAAATAATAAAGATCAAAATGAGGTGGGAGGTATGTCTTACACAGTACAGTCTAATAGGTAGATTGAGTCAAAAAATGCTCCAGTTGTGGTGCAGCCTTTTTCTTTAAAGTTTCCTTTGTTTCAATGTTTATTTCAAACCAGGGAAACCGTGGGAGGTGATTGATACAAAAAAGAAATGTGGTGATTTTAAGTCAGACGTAAATTACTTTCTGAAAATGACTGAATAATACTTTTGAAAAGAACCAAGGTCATTTGTTTTGACATTTTTTTAAATAAAAATAAAAACCACTGTCAAAACTTTATTTTTCCACCCATTTAAAAAAGATTGTAAAATGAAAACAATACATTCTCAGCTGTTTGTTTCACAGATAGAAAACAAAGAAATTCAGGAAATAAAATGAAAAAGTATCATGGTACCTTTTTCTCTATTTGTTATCCTTAATTCATCAACATAGAGATACAACTATTTAGATGATACTTAGAACAATTCTCAACCGCCTACAGGCCTCAGTAGAACTCTCTACACCAGCGATACTCAACCCGCGGCTCGCGAGCCGCATGCGGCTCTTTTAAGACTAACTGCGGCTCTTTTAAGTCCCACTTAAAAAATAAAAAAAATTTAAAAAATCTTTGAAAAACGAAAAACAAAGTCAGAAGAATTCATCAACATTTCATTATCACTCACAAGTCACACATCAGTCGTCGCCCCTCCCCCTCTGAATAGCCAATCAAATATTATGTCAGGTTTCGCGCTCTGATTGTTTCGCGCGAGATAATTGCTACGTCACACTGGGAAAACTATACAGCACTATGCAAAAATGGCTACGACTAAACGAAAATATGAAGAGGAATATCGAACATTTAAAGAGGACTGGGAACTGGAGTTTTTCTTCGTCTCCACCGGTTCGGGAAAATGCACCTGCCTGCTTTGTGACAACATCAGTTCACAATTTAAAAGGTCCAATTTGCAGCGCCATCACGACACAAAACACCCGAAGTTTAGTAGCTACGACTTTCCGAAAGGTGGAGAGCTGAGGGCGGGAAAAGCTGGCTAGACTCAAACAGAACCGAACTGCTCAAAAAAAACTTTTTCCACACTAATACGAGTGAAAGGAGCGACAGAGGCATCCTAACAAAATTCACACATGAACTGATGAAAAAGATGAAGCCATATACTGATGGAGAAATGGTGAAGGACTGCATACTGCTGGCTTGTTCAACGTTGTTTCCTGAGAAAAAAAGACCTGGAACGAGAGGCCAAAAAAATGCAACACTGTCGGATTCTACTGTAGCTAGGAGGGCATCAGACAATTTCAGAGAACATTGCACATACTCTTAAGGACAAACTGTCATCCGCTGAGTTGTCAGCCCTTGCAATGGACGAAAGGCTGGATGTCAATGACACGCCACAATTACTAATCTTTATCCGGGCGGTCAACAGTAAGCTTGACATTACAGAGGAACTGCTGACATGGTTTCACTGAAAAATGGAACAACGGGCATTGTGAAATAAAAAACGCTGTGCTGGAAACATTACAGAAGTTTAAATTGGCCCAAGAAAAAATCACAGCATTCACGACAGATGGCGCACCGGCGATGCTTGGTAAGAGGAACGGAGCCGTGGCCTTGCTGAAAGAGACGCTTAAAAACGGCGGGGTTGCTGCTGAGGGTATTTTCTCATACCATTGTATTGTGCATCAACAAGCCTTATTTGCTAAGTTCAAATGTCTGAATGAAGTGATGGCAAATGTAATCGAAGTGGTTAATTATATCAGGGCCCGTGCAAGAAACCACTTAAATTTTAAACTGCTGTGTGAGGAGTTTGACACTCACTATGGAGATTTGGTGTTACACACCGAGATCAGATGGCTGTCTAAAGGACGTATGCTTGCACATTTAATGGACTTGATTGAACCCCTGAAAGCCTTCATTGTCGGCCAAGGGGAGACTTCCCGATTTTCCTTTTTGGATGATAAAGAGTGGGTGCTGTCTGTTGCGTTCCTGTGTGACATTACGCAGCACTTGAACGAACTTAATCTCAAGATGCAGGGAAGAAACAAGACCGTGTATGAGCTCTACACGGCTGTCAAAGTATTTTCTGACAAACTGGATGTACTCGACCAAAGTGTCCGTGGTTCTGATTACCGTTTCTTCCCCACCGTGCAGAAAGTGATGGCGAGGCATGCAGACGCTCTCCTGACCTGTCAATCTCAATTCTGTGAGGTGCTAACTGAGCTCAAGCAAAACTACACATCCAGATTCCACGACTTCAAGGACCATAGCAATATTTTTCTACTTGTGAAAAACCCATTCCTGATTGAAGTCAATGAAATGAAGCAAATAAGCGACCAGCTCGGACTTGTGCAGCTTCAAATGGAGTTCGTGGAGTTAAAGAGCTCAGATGAACTTCAGCGTCAATTTCGGATTACAGATGTCGTGGACTTTTGGAAACTGGTGGGGCATCTACCAAATATCTCCAAACTGGCAAGACGCATCATCTCAATGTTTCCGTCCACATACCGGTGTGAAGCAGCATTCTCTGCGCTCACAAAAATAAAATGTCGCAACCGAAACAGATTGAGTCTGCAGCACACAACAGAGGCCCTCCGGATCGCCGTTTCCAGCGCAGAGCCCAACTTCAAATCACTTGTGCGGCAGAAGGAGTGTCAGAAATCACATTGAGTGTGAAGTAAGGTCAACATTACTCTTCTGACAACCCCTGCTGTGTATAATCTGCTGTTATATGGACTGTGATTATCAGTAAACATGCTGTCTGTTATCTGTTGTTTTGTGTGTTTTGTGGTTGCAGTGAAAATAAGAAATCACAGTTATTGCATTGTACATTATGCTTTTCATTCTTAAGTAACATATTACTATTATCCATATTCTCAAATGCATAAAGGTTTCAGGGAGGAAAGGAGCGTTTTTGGATTGTGGCTCTTGCAAAAATATTTTTTCGTCAATGTGGCTCCTGATTAGGACAAGGTTGAGTACCACTGATCTAGAACCTCCTGCAGACCACGTTCTGCTGAAAGAGAAGGAAACAGGAGAGAATCAGGAAATGCTTTTGAGAATCTAACAATCAAACTAATAAAAATAGACAGAGTGTAAATGTTTTGCAAACAGCTTAATGTCTCTGCTCTACAACAGAATACCTCATCCAGACCAAATGAACCAGGGAGAGGAATAAGACGCTGCATGTGTTCGGCCTCTCACCTCGTACAGAGCTGCTCTGACTGGCTGTCTGCAGGCCAGCTCTGGTTCTGGATCTCTCTCCACACTGGGGACAGGAGGGGTCTCCTGATGGAGGTCTCTGCTCCCAGTATGAGGTGATGCACTGTCTGCAGAACCAGTGTCCACAGCTGGTAGAGACTGGATCCTTCAGGACGTCCTGACACAGAGCACAGCTGGACAGCTGCTCCTCCACAGGAACACCACTCTTCCTCTTCCCTCTGTGGAGAGGAACACATCCTTTACAGCACTTTACTTTAGTGGAGCTGATTCTCACCAAAGGTACAACAAGGGGAACATTCTAGTTTGATATTTAAAAAAAGTGTTATCATAAAACCAAAGAGCATCCTGTCTGGATTCATGACATCCCCCAGAGGAACACAAGTTCACTGCATCTACTAAGACACTCAGCTGTATTAACCTGGTGCTTTATAAACCCAACTTGCAGAGAATCTGCTGTGAATTCATAGCAATAAACATCTGGAAAGGATGCTGAAATGTAAACAGAATGACAGTCATTTGTAAAAAGCCTGAGTTAATGCAGGGCTCGACATTATAAATGGCCCGCTGGCCGGAAGCACTATTCAGATCCCCCGGGCAGCATAACATTCTTTCCCCACAACAAATATTGCTTAACATTTTTTTGTAAAACAGTAAGATATAAATTCACATTGTCCTGTGGTATTGGTATTTTGACATTTTGTTCGATTGTGTAGTTTATTAACGCTGCAACATAGCGTTTCGTGAAGCGGTTGTCGTTGTTGGATGAAAAGCAAACAGCTGTTTGCTGCGGAGTAAAGCGCAGTGCGTGCAGGCTCCTGTGCGTTTTTTGCTTGGCTGTGTCTTTAGTTGAAAGCAGTGTTGATCTGTTCATCTGTCATACTGATCAGTGATCATACAATAAACCCATCGAAAAATAATTTGATAGAGTGGTACAATGACTTCTGGGTCTCTGTGTGTCATTCAAGATCGGCCAACCCAGTCTCATGGCATTTCGTGTTCACCAACACGATTTTTAATCTATTGATTCGTGTTCACCAGTGGTGGCCGGCCCATAGGGGCGCTAGGGGCGCCGCCCCGTCTCTTCCCACATGTTTGATTGTCATTTAAAAAAAAAAATATATATATATATATTACTTCTAATCACCATCTTCCATCCCAATGCTTAGACCTCAAAAAGGGCATTTTTGCCGTTGGAAGAACATTTTCTGGGCTGAGAAACCCCATTCATGTGCAGAAGTTCACCTGGGGAAACAGCCACCAAGTTGTTTGTGAGCTTGAAAATTGCAAGCAGGCATCAGAATTGTTAAAATGTTTATGTTTAATGAAGACTTTCCTCTTTGTATGTACTGTATATATTTTCCTTTGTACAATGTATTGGTATGTAGTATACATTTCATGTTTAGTATTTGATGTGTATTGTAATGTTTCAAAAATAATAAATACGTTAATTAATTAATTAATCTTACCACCAGACACAACATGAACAAATGAATGATACACATCAGGACAGTAACTTCAACTTCAGTATTTTAGGTGTACAGAAACCTCTACTCATGTTGTTAAATGATATACAGCAATATCTTCCATAAAACGTAGTTGATTGATTTGAATAATAATTACTACCACTGCACAAACAGTAAAAAATGATATGCCTACAATTTATGAGTTAGGGTTACGGTTAGGGTTGACTCTGTATTCATTATGATCTGTCAATAGGTCAATTAATTTGTCTTCTCTGTGGGTTGTATACTCTTCATTCTTTATGCAAATTAATTATAATTATTATTTTTCAAAGTTCCTTTATGATTCATTCAAAGCATTAAAATAAATGAGAAACAGAGCGTCATCAGTACTTTAAGAACAATACGTGGTGGGGGGCGGGGCTCATAACCCTTGTAGGAAACACCACCCTTTAGGATCCGCCTCCTTGCTGCGCGTCTGCACATACTATGGATTATTCAGGATTCAAAAGTTGAGCAATTTTCAACTTGTGAAGCTGAGCTGGAACCGGGTCAGCCAATCAAATCCCGTTTATGCAAATCTGAACAGTTCAAGCGCGCTAGCCCAAGCAAACCCGCGTGCAAGCTGGGAGAGCCAGACCGCGAGTTCATTTCCTCATATCCCAAACGAGAAAATTACGGTAGCAAATCACCCGGTTCTTTACGACCAGGAACTATTAACCGGGATTACAAACCGGAGGAACCCAGGCATGGAGGGAGGTGGCAGAGCAGTGGGTGAAACCGGTAGGTTCTCCGCCTGTTTGGGGATATATGTAATTAGGCTCGCATAAAATCCCCGGGGTTTTTTGCTTTGTATGTCGGGGCGGGAGATTCATGTGATTGGTTGTCTGGTCGCGTTGCTCTCGAAAAAATCCCCAAGCTCCCAGAACACGCCCAGCTCCAAGATTTTCAAGATTTTTTTAAAGCTGCTGTGTGGACGTACCGTAGACTCGTATCCAAGGTGACGCTACAGTGGGGGATGGCTGCGTCTGCAGGGTGTAGATCCGCGGTGTGCTAGTGAACGCCGGAGCTGTAGATTAACATTTTACATGCCCTTATTGTAGTTGTAAGGCAATGCCTGTGGCACCATGGAGCATATGTGTGGGTCCTGACCTGTATTTTACAGGGAAAGGAGTGATCAGAGGGTCGAGTTGTCGGGTGGGGTGCGTCGATTCTTGTTCAGTTTTCATCTTCTCCTCACCCTCTCAGACTTTGAGTTGCGCGCGCTGCTAAAGAGACCGCGCTAGCATGGAAACCAAAACAATGGTGTACCTGTATTAAAGTCCGAGTGGAAACAGTCGTGAGTAAATCTAATTTTGTCAGAAAATCGGAGATAAATGCGGGAGTCTCCGGCGAAAATCGGGAAGGGTTGGCAAGTATGACACACAACAAACACACACACACACACACACACACACACACAATGTTCGTATTTAAGTCTCCTGATTTTAAATGCCCTAGTATGGTTTTGTCACCATTTCCATAGGCCCCACCAAAAATATTTTCCACCACTGGCCCACAGATACAATGATAATATAATTGCATATTGAATTATCATCAAATAATGTTGAGCTTACTCTGCTGCGTTTTCGCCTTTACAAACTGCTCACATGATATCATTTAAGAACGTTTTAATATAATTAGATGACATAAAGACAGAATCCCTCTTCCAGGTCAGGTTACAGTAGAAACAGACTCTTACTTTGTGTCCTGAGGTCCAGTTCCATCACTGAAGTTTGGATTTAAAGTCTTTAGACCAGTTCACTCTTCAGAGACAGACAGCTGGGGACTGGAGACTCTGCCTCCCTCTGTCTGTGGAACAACAACACGCATGTTTGTAAACATCATTACTTTTATTTAAAAGAGGCAGCTTTTGATCCATACTGTTCACCTGATTAAGATGTTTAACCATTTTTGAGTCTTGATTGTGGGTTTCTGTTGTTAAATTCATTTGAGTGTGCCACCGTTTACATATGTTGTATTATTATTTGCCTTAATTTAACACAAAGTCCAACCCATGCTAGGAAGTGTGAGGATGATTTCACTGGTAGACTCAATTTTACTATTGGTGTAAAGCAAACAGAGCCTGAGGCTATAATAACTGATAAAATAAATACGATTACAATTAGTCATATATTATTTGATGAACTTATAATTATCGATTACAGTATATATAAATACATATCAATAAAAAAATTGATTTTGTTTTAATAAGCAATTAAATCTATTAGCGCTTACAAATATGTTCATTTACATTACAATGACCCATTAATTAGGGATACGAAATCGAGTGCGTAAATGATCGCAGGCCGGTCTCCTGCTGGCAACCGCCGAGTGTAATCCCCACTAATCAGAAGCCCGGTGCGCGCTTACCTGAAGGAGTTAATAGTCTGGTGGCGTGCCAGCCGGGTAACCAACACTGAAGCTGCAGACGGGAGGCCATTCTAGCCAAGTCAAGGACAGGCAGCGCGGTAACAACCCTCCCAGAATCCTTACGGCTCTTCGCAAAAAACTACAGCTTCAAAAAAAGCTTGCCGGCGGGCGTGTCTGAAGCTGCGACGCAACAACCATCACATGAAATCTCCCGCCCTGACACAGCAAGGCAGCGCGTTTGAATTGGCTAGAGCTTTTAGCTGGCCATATGATTTGATTCGGCTGTACTGGCATATGATTTATTGGCTTGAACGTCCACCGAAAGCGTTTTTGAAGCTGTCGCAACACTACAGCTTCGACCAGCTTCAAACGCTTTCCAACGCGTCTGCCCATTCACTTGATTGGGGTGACCGTCATGCTTGCCTCGCTTTCGCCCGAACTGA